CAACATCATTTCAATTTTACTTGTAAAATCTTAATCAGTGAGGTTCATTGAAGTAGTAACAACCAAGCATTTGAGTAATTAGCTATATGTACAAAACGATCATTGTCAATTGAAAAACTTACAACATTATTGAACTGACAACTTCATTATAATATGATATATGTATATTTATATTAGAAAACTCCATTTTGTTGTATAGTGTATTGTTATTTCAGTGTCATTCCAATTTCACTTATATATATTCTTAACTAGTAAGATCCTTGGAGTAGTAACGATAAAGCTGGCATTTGGCCAACCAACGATATATATGTACTAGACTATCATTGTCTATCGAGAAACTTACGACATTATTGAACTGCTAACTTGTAATATATATTGTATACATATTTATATTAAAAAGGTTAACTCGATGATATCGAATAACCCAAATGTGAAATGTAATGATTTTAACAGAAGTACTTATCCCTATCCCTATCAATATTAAGAGCCTCTCATTAATAATGTGTTACATGACCATACGCAAAATTAATGAATAGCTTTATATCCATAATAGCTTGAAAATCATGGATGCATAGTAGTACAAAATTAGGTGAACATATGAAATTAAGACATAAATTTATATGCAGAGGGAATGTTTTGGTGCCTTTTTTTAAGTTTGACACAAATTAAAAGCACTTCTTCATAGTCAAAGTGCTTTACTTTGAACATTATCTAGAGTTTGAAGGGTTTCTAGAAGTAGAGAAATTCTTGATATAATTTTTGAAGAACAGTTTATGCAAGTAGAATTTTTTTTTTTGGTGGCCACCCCTTGACCTTGTTATAACTTGAACCCAAGACTGCTGGATCTTTTAATTCTTTGAACCATCCTTCGCTCCATCACGCCACAAGGGATGGTTTATGCAAGTAGAATTTTTAAAGAATAGTTATTAGAGTAGAGTTTATGAAAATTTAAAATTTTTTGTGAAATATTTGTTGGTTACCAAAATGTAGAACTATAAAATAACTTTTCTAGTATTAATTTATCAAAAAAGGTTCTAGAATATAGGAATAGATTAAATCATTATAAAATGAAACAATAGTATTTTTGAATTTTTAGCACTTTAAATAAGCTAAAAAAGAGCTTACTTTGAGCTTCTCCCGTAAACTATAAAATTGCTTATTTAAAATTCTATAAACACTCAACCAAATAACTTTAATATTTAAAAGTGTTTATAACTTTAAATAAGCTTTTTTGACCGGTAAATAAATTCAAAGGTTGTTAACCCTTTTTATAAATAAACATTCCTTCTTATAGGTGAAATAGTAATGCGGACCATTGTTTTAAAACCCGACCTGTTGTGAGACCCGGTAAGGTGATCGGGTCATGAGTTGACCGATTCAACCAGTTGGACTGGCGATGTCAACAATAATTTTATTTTTTTTAAATTATAAATTAATCTCTTAAATTTTAGTATATAACGAAACATCCCTAAAATTTTTATTTATTTAAAAAATGTCCCAAAAAATCACCAATTAATCCCTAAACGTTTGACATATCTCCAAAACGTCACTAGAATATTACAATAAATTTGAAATATTACAAAAACCCCTAAAACCTGAACCGGACCGGAGAAGCTGCTGGGTCCCGATCAGACCGATCGGCCCAGACCGAGTTTAAAACAGAGTGGGTACTTGAAGAGTTCAAATTGTGTTTTGAAAGTGAGATGTGTAGTGAGATGAAAAGTTGGACCATCTATTGTGGGCCGGCTTGGGCCCATTTAGTTTGGTTATTGGACCAAGGCCAAGTTGGGCTTTAGATTGAATCATGTCCAAAGTCAAATTAGCTTCAATCTATGAACCAAAAAAAGAGTAAATTTGGGTTTAATTATAAATTTTAATTACTAAAAAAAATTACAGAAATTAAAAATACATGTATTGATATATCTATTCCATAATTAATAGTAAAATTTATCTCATAAATTCTACTTATTATTTTATATAATCTCAAATTATGAAGGACAAATTTTGGTTTTATTCAATTTTTCTTCATAATTTTTTATTTAATTCAAAATACAATTTTTACAAAGAGTGGTTCTATTGTCCCACTTTTTAATTTATTTTTATAACTACAAATTTATCCTTAAATTAAATTACTAAATTTATATTTAATTTCTTCTTCTTTACGAAACACTCTTTACACCCTCTTATTTATATATAAAACCTAATCATTTATATTTCATATTCAACTCTGCTTTGATAGATTTAAAACAATTTTGATAATTAAAAGAGCGTATTTAGATCGAGAAAGAAGTTTTCTAGGAGATATATTGGGTTTTTAATTGTATAAAATTATAAGTTTGTAATTGCTTCTTAATTTTTCTTTTTTATTAAGTTGTGTCCTTAATTTTTATTCATCAATGACAAAAATATATTTCATTTTTTAAACTTATGTTTGCAATATACTTTTTTATAATGCTACAATTTTTTACTTGATTTCTATAATGTGGGTAAATTATTTTTTTAGTTAAGTTCTAGTGAATCTCAAATTAAATGCTTGAAATTCTCTTTTAAGAAGAAAAAAATTGAAGGAAAATAGCATGAGTAAAGATTATAAAGTAGTTAGTTTTTTTTTTTTTTTAATAAATTGGATAAATGACATTAAGGTACCGTTTGGTTTCATGAATGTTTTATTAATGAAAAAATAAGATTACCTTGAAGATAGATTACCTTAAAAGAGTAAGAGGAATATTATGTTATATACGTTTGATTAAATTGGTAGGTATAAATAATTAATATGTTTGATTGTGGGAACGAAAGAATTGTGGAAGATGCTTTTACTGAATTATCCTTCTTTATAAATAGTATTATTATTATGTAGATTATTCCTTTTAACCCCCATACATTTAAAAATTTAACTAAAACACCGCAATCATAATAAAAGTTTAAAATTTAACAAAATGCCCCCAACCACCGGCCACCACCGCTAGTCACCACTGACATTCATCGGAACGATGCATGAACAGCTGGATATGGCTAGTCGTGTGCCGATCTGGCCATTTCCAGCTAGATTGATGCTCGGCCAACCAGATTCAGTCTATCGTGCGCCGTTCAGGCGATTGTCAGCGACGGTTGGCAGTGGCAGCCAGTAGTCATCCTGGGTGGTTGGGGTGTTTTGGATAGTATTCATATAATAACTTTTCAAAATAAGAGCATTATTATCCAAAAAATTAATTATTTAGGGGTAAAATGGTAACATGTATTGTGGGGCATTTCTGTCCAAAAAATTAATTTATGAGATTACAAAAGTCATTTCACACAGTTGAACTAATTGTTATTTGATAGATATATGAGGACATTTGTGTTTGAAATGTTTATTAATTAATAGTAAAATGGAAACAAAATTTAGATTACCTCAATAATAAAAGAATAACACCCCTTGAGAAGGTAATCTGATTACCTCCTATATCACTGGGTGTGTTTAGTTCGGGGAATGTTTTATTACTCAAAAGATAGTTTTACCTCCGAGATAAATAACTTTAAAGATTACTAGAGAATATTATACCAATATGTTTGGTTAGATAAGTGTGTATAAATAATTAAGATGCTTGATTGGGAAGAATAAAATATTATCAACAGAAGCTTTTACTAAATTACCCTTCCTATTTAATATAATAATAATAATAATAATAATAATAATAATAATAATATTATTATTATTATTATTATTATTATTATTATTATTTAAATAAATTCCTTTAACCCCCTATATTTGAGAATTTAGCTAAAACACCCTCTAAAAATAAATTTTAAATTAAAAAAAAAAAAAAACCTCCAGCCACCCAAGACCACCGCCGGCCATCGGCGTCAGTCACTAAAACGGTAGCCGTGCGTCGTTTTGATTGTTTTCGACTAAATCGAAGGTCGAAAATAGCTAGATCACCATGGATCTAGCCGAAAACAGCCAGATAGATTCACAGAAATCAGGCTGTTTTCAACCAGATCCACATTGATCTGGCCGTTTTCAGCTAGATCGAAGGCCCAAAATAGCCAAGTCACCGTGACTGGTTGAAAACGGCCACAAATGGTTGATCTATTCTGGTCGTTTCCAGCCAAATCCATGGCGATTTGGCCGTTTTTGGCCTTCGATCTAGCCGAAAACAATCAGATCGATGCACGGCCAGTCAGATCCCGTCGGGCGTGTTTCAATATGGTGACTATTTTTGGTGGCCGACGGTGGTGGCTAGTGGTGGTCTTTGGTTGCTGGGGGTATTTTGTTAACTTTTAAACTTTTTGTGGCTTGGGTGTTTTAGTAAATTCTAAAATGTAAGGGGTCTGGGCTTATTGTTATTTGATAGACATTTGAGGGCAATTGTGTCCAAAATGGTATTTAATTAAGGGCAAAATGGGTATAAAATTAAGAGACCCCGATAATCTTAAATACCACCCCTTGAGGAGGTAATATGATTACCCTCTATTTAACCCACAGTAATCACTATTGGTATTAAAAGATTACCAAAATATTTTATTACTTAACAACCAAACAAGGGAATGTCCGGAATTAAAGATAGATTACCGGAATTATCTTTCCAAAGCCCTAACTAATCACACCCTTAGTAATTGCTATTGTATTGAAAGATTATCGAAGTTTTTTATTACTTGATGACCAAACAAGGGAATGTCCGAAATCAAAGATAGATTAGCAGAATAATCTTCCTAGGTCCCTAACCAAACGCACACCGTAATAGAATTTGTGGGGTGTTGTAAGAAAAGAAAATCTTAATGGGGTATTGGGGTGTTAAAGAGAAAAAATTCTTAAAACTTTAAATGGGGTGCATTAAGAAGTGGGGTTTCCTTAGTTTGATAGTGGGAGCCCAGTAGAACTACTCTTTTACAAAAGTAATAAACTCTGGGCCGAGTGCTCTACCCAAGTCGGCCTAATTCGCTTCTTCAAAACAGCGTCGTTTAATGTAGATTGCTACGACATCGTTTTAGTCACACAAACTCACCCTCTCTCTCGCTTCTCTTCGAATCAAAACCTCTCTCCTCTCTCACGCTCTCGCAACACGCACAAACTCTCTCTTCTTCTAGGGTTTTCAGAGGCCTCTAGATGTTGTAAATGGAAAACGAAGGGCCGAAAGAGCCAGACAAGAAGAAGCCGCACTTGAATTCTCACCCTCTTTCTCCCTCCATGGCTCGCAACTCTGCCACTTCTCCTTCGAATAACAAAACCGTAATCTCTCTCTAGCTCGCTTTGTTTTATTCGTTCTTATAGTTGTTATCTGAATCGTCTCGTTTTATGATTACAATATTTGCATATTCAAAATAATTTAATTTTAGGTTTCCTTTTTTAGTTATTTTCTTTTATGAAAATTACGTTGCATTAATAGGTGTAATACGCAATATGAAACGAGAACTTAGCCGAATTTTATGTTTAACTTAGCTCGAAGAAATTAAAATAAAAGGATTACGAGGAATAGTTGTTTCTAGGGTATGCTACTGTGCTGTTATAAGTTTTATGTTCGCGTGATAGTAATTGTAAGTGAGCCTTTTATTTGTTTGACATTTCTATCTGGAGGCATTTGTTGATTGACATGGTTAATTTGTCAATTCGCGAACAAACAATCTGATTATGTGCGGATACACAACCCTGGACAGACGCATGCAGTATTCGCTAGGCTTTGGTTGTTCAGTGCAATTTAGAGTTCATAGATATGGAGGATTATTGATATTGCTCTTATAGGAATTCTTTTTCAGTAGTTTATTTGTTTGTGTTTACATTAATATAAAATTTATGAAGTTACTAGCATTTGTTGCTATATATGATTCAAAAATTTATTTGTATTTTATGTTTAATTGGAGCTCAAATAAATGATAACAAAGATAAAAAAAATTTATTTGGAATAGTTGTTTCTTGGGTTAGACTTCAGTAGTGTTATAAGTTTTAGGTTTGTGAGATAGAACTTAAGAGTGTCACTTTTTATTTGTTTGACGATTTATCCAGAGGCAATAGTTGATTAGCATGGTTAGTTTGTCAACAGAGCAAACATATAGGTTCATGAACAAACAAACTGAACTCAGTGTCAGCTAGGTTTCTGTTGTTTAGGGCATGATAGAGTTTGTAGATACGGAGAATATTGTTATTTATATTAACTCTTTTCAAGTTGCTCATTCGTATGAGTTACATTAATGTAAAACTGTAAAGGGGAGAAACTTTTAACATGATTTTAATTCTCCAGGTTGATGCGGCAGTTCTTCAGTATCAGAATCAAAAACTTGTACAGCAACTAGATGCTCAGAAGCATCAGTTGCATGATCTTGAAGCCAAAATTAAGGAATTTAAAGATAAACAAACTTCGTATGATGACATGTTAATTACAGTGAATCAACTTTGGAATCAGGTGAAGTGTCTTTTCTTTTTTGATATGTATCCTTTTTCTTGTCATTTTTACCCTCTTATGTAGTTTTGATCTAATGTGTTTAGTGCTGTCGTTTTGCTGTGTAGTTGGTTGATGATTTGATCTTGCTTGGGGTACGAGCCGGTGGAGGCCCTAATGCTTTACGAAACTTGGATTGCAAAGACCAGCCACGAGGTCTTTTAGCATTTTAGCCTTTTTGTTTACTAGATGAATAAATTAGTCTTATAATCTTATATATTGCATTAACCTTGACTTTCACATCTGATTAAGTTTACTGACTTGAGCTATACTTTAGATCCTGTTCCATCTTGTCCTCCGGAGGATATGTTTCTTGGTAGACTGCTACGAGTAAATTGCATTGAAAATACTGGTAATGAGGGGATTGCCAATTACGTTGAAGAAGCCCTTGCTCCACGTCATTCATCTACTAAGGAGTTGATGAAGTTTCTGGAAGATGTCATTGAAGCACAGAGGGTGAAAACTGAGAGTGTAGCTCAGACTTTGCAAGGAAAGCTATCTGCAGAAGGTCAGAAGATATCTTGATGTCAGGTCCAATTGTTAATTCATCATTCTTCGTATATATTTCCTATGATTAGGTTAGTCCATTTCATTGTTGATCTTCAAAGTAGTATTCAATTCGGAACTTTGAATTGATTATTGTCATACATTTGGGGTTTTCAGATGCCATTATCCAATTGTCAAAGATGGATGATATGATGAAAGAAGAGGCTAAAAATCTGCATGAGGTGATTGAAAATCTCCATTTGAAGCATAAGGAATATGCTAATTGGATTCAAACTTATATATGCAACCATTCAGTTGATCAGTCTGAGATTAAACGCGTCGCAGGTCTGTGATAAAATTCTGACTGAAGATATTTTTATTTTTCTTGCCCATGTTTTGACCTAGATGCATAACTCTCTGCAGTCATGCCAAAATGCCATGTTCTTATTTATTTATCTTTTTTTAGAAGAAACATATTAATATTGTTGATTGAAACTTGCCAAAATNCTAAGTCACATAGTCAAGTACAATAATTGGTGACAAATAAAAAAATCTAAACTATAAAAATAACTTTGTCTTGTAAAGAAATTGACAAAATATTCAAGGAGAAATCAGAAATCACATGGACATATCACATATGCAATTAATAACTCCAAATATCACATTATTGATAGCAATTTAAGTCATCAGCTTAACTAATTTTCATGTGTTCTATTTTTAAATCGGATCCCAAAATTGGTTTCACATGTTGCAGAGACTTAGATATAAACAAGGCATGTGCAAGCTTTAGTGTCTAATTATCTTTGCTTTCAATTCAACAGCGGATGCTTTCAGCTCTTAATTAATTTATTTATTAAACGATAATTAAAATATAATATTGATCGTTTTCAGTCACGAGATACTTCCATAGTTTGTAAACTCTAAACCAGACAAAAATTAATCATAGAGCAGCAAGCTTTATATAATTAGCACATTTGGTCGTCGTCAAATTTTATTATATGCCCATGAACAGAGATTACAAATGTGTTGATTTTTTATTAATCAAGTTAGCAATCAAATTAATTATTATGAATAATATGGAGTTTTGAACGTGCACACCGACAATAATGATTCAATAAAGATAGGTTGGTAAACGAATTATACAAACTTTCTCTCACTAACCAAATGTAATGGCTGATAATTGGTTTATGATGAATTGATTATATGGGGAAATTATTAGAGTAAATGTATTGTATTACTTATTTATCAAGTTAGCAATCAAATTAATTATTAGAGTAAACGACTTTTTTCCCACCCAAATAATAGTTTAATGACACTTTCTCATCCACGGATATTTGAAATACTATTTTACTACCTAAATTTATATTCTGTTTCTGATTTCGGTATCATTGCGATCCTACACCACCAATATTCTTTTCCCCGATCATCACTCACCGAAACCCTTCAAACCTTACTCTCGTCGACCTTGACAATCGCGTGATTAGGGTTTGCACAACTACTCCTCCCAACTCAAATTCTGATCAATTTCAACCACCAAAAGACTCATTGACTCCCCTCTTCAAAAACCACAACAGCTTGTACCGAGTTTGCTATTTGTTTATCGTCAGAATATAAATTTAGATAATAAAAATAGTATCTTAAAAATCTGTAAGTGAAAAAGTGTCATTAAATCATTATTTAGGTGAGAAAAAGTCGTGAACTCTTAGTTATTATAAATAATTTAGAGTTTTTGAAGTGCAAAGTGACAATAGTGATTGATCACTTATTTTATTTTTTTTATATTTGTGAAGTCAATAACTGATCCCTAATCTTTTGTTAAAAACTTTAAAATAGTACTCATTAATTGTGGTCTAAGAGAACACATAAACAAATCTTATTAATTTGCTTAATCTTGATGTGTTTAGCTGTTAAATGAAGTTTTAACGAGTTAAATCGATTTATTTAATTAGAGAAAATTTGAATAAACAACAGCTGTTTGCCATGATAATCTCAACTGCTCCATTCCTCTTTAAGCATCAGCAATAATTTTCTCAAATTATTATGGATTTTTTTTTAATAAAATATTTACCATATATATTATTACATCTATTTTGTTAGTTTCGATACTCAACTTACCATATTTAGCCAAAAATGGATGAGAAATAATTAAAGTCATGTTTAATCATAAATAATAATCCTCTGGATTAAGAACCTATTAATTAATAAAAGGTCATTTTAAGTACAAAAAAATATTATCTTTAATGTGATTGACAATATCTATATATTTATGTTTCTTAAATTTATGAAAGAAAAAGAAAATTGAAGGTATGGTTTAATAATGTAGGAATTTATCCACATATCATGTTAAAATTTCAAAATCAAAATTCCTCATTTTTTTTTTTTTTTTTTATGGTCGTATGTGTTTAAGCCAGTTTACGCACACCTTAACTAATCATTCGGAATACTGAAATTACACGAGTGATAAGAACTTCAGTGGCTATTCCTATTAACAATCGAGAAGGGACTTAAACTCAAGATCTCTTGAGTAATACATCTAAGAGTTGCTATCGAATCACTCCATCATGTTGCGGTTCATCAATCAATAATGAGTCTTACAATCCTTCATGATACAAAATATTTACATGATTATGTTAATCTGACTCGTTAATTAGACTCTACCTCACTCTAAATTATATATTCCCTTTATTTCCAATTTAATTAAATTACAAATATCATGTATCACATTATTCAATAATTTATACTCCATTATTAGATTTTGCCAACATTACTTACTCGATTTTATCAATTGGATGAGAATCAAAAGAGATCAATCAATTTTTTTTTTTTTTCTTTTTAATCTGGGTGCTCGGGTCAATATACTTACCTCAACTAATTTTTCGAGATTGTAAAACTATTGGACGAATAAAAATTTCAATAGTCGGCTCTAATTAACAACCATAAGTACTCGAACTTGAAAGATTATATTAAGTTATCCTTTTGTTCTTTTATTATTAAGAGACTTCAACTCGAAAGATCATGTTAGATTCTTATTTACTGTTTTACCATCATATTACAATAGTGATTAATCAAATTCAATGTTGTCCTAATATAATTTCTCCCAAAATTTTATCCAATTAATAAGTAGTAAAATATTTTTTATTTCCCGAAAGCTCTAGAAAGGTCTGGCCAACAACGCACTTCCCTCTCTCATCGAATTACAATTACATTGAATCATGAAATTCCGCAAAACGCAAGAGTCCAAAACTGAAAACGGTGGCGTAGCTCTGAACCAACCATTTGCTTGGAGCGGGTAGTGTGCTTTGCTGGCGCATGCAGCATAACTGAGTCAGCAAACGTGGAGTCTACGTGTCAAAGTCATCTATATCCGACACGATGCATGAACTGGAGACTGGACACGTGTCGCGCATGAACCATCCTTTTATTTCTCTATATAGTCACCCTTCTTCATCTCTCTCTCTCCATTCATTCATTCACTGCCGTGACTAAATTCACCCACTTTTTTCTTAATCTCCTCGCTCAATTTTCCCCATCTTTAAACAGAAAAAACTCTCTCTTGCTTTCCCGGGAAAAAAAAAATATGAAGGAATCCGTGGGAAACCCTTTGCATCTTAAGTCTTTGAACCATGTCTCACTCGTTTGTCGATCGGTTGAAGAGTCCATTGATTTCTACCAGAATGTTCTCGGTTTTGTCCCCATAAGGCGGCCCGGTTCTTTCGACTTTGATGGCGCATGGTGATTGATTAGTTTAATTTTTATGGATTAACATCAATTTAACACGTAATTCATTTTTCTATCTTGAAGTAATGAAAATGTCTTGTGTTTCATTTCATAGGCTGTTTGGCTACGGAATTGGGATTCATTTGTTGCAATCAGAGGATCCTGAGATTTTGCCGAAGAAAAGCGAGATTAATCCCAAGGATAATCATATCTCTTTCCAGGTTACTTTTTTTGTTTGTTTATCTTCCTTGATTAAACTATTCATAGAGTTTGATTTTGTTACGACTCTTTGACTTTTTAATAATTTTAATGAGTGCAGTGTGAGAGCATGGGAGCGGTGGAGATGAAACTGAAGGAAATGGGAATCAAGTACCTGAGATCGATGGTGCAGGAAGGAGGGATCGATGTGGAACAGATGTTTTTCCATGACCCGGATGGCTTCATGATCGAAATATGCGACTGCGATAATCTTCCGGTGATTCCGCTCGTCGGTGAGATGGCTCGCTCTTGTTCCCGGGTGAACCTCCAAATAATGCAGCCACCGCAGCTACGAGTGGTGCAGCAGTGATATATAATTATATAGAACAATCTGTCTGTTTTCTTTATTATTAATATTAATATTATTATTATTATTATGTCGTTGTTCTTTTTTTTTTTTTTTTTGTTTTTATGTTGTGTGGTTTAGGTTTTTGTAATAAGACATTTAAAGGAATGTAATCCAGCACCAAAGGGAAATGATCATTTCGTTATTTACTTGAACTGTAAATTTTAAAGAGACTTTGTGTTAAATTGTTTATGATTAATTAAAACTTGTTTAATTATGGCCGGTTTAGTATGTAAACTATGCAAATAATTCCAATTATTTGGGCAAATGGATGCATTTATGGAGTTGACAGATGGGCCAGTCACCAGAAAAATATACTTCCAAAAACAAAGTGGCTTCACAGTAAGCATGCAGTAACTGTTTTTTGTTTTTGGGTCAAAAGACTGGGAAATTATAGGGTTTGATGGAATTATATTTTTGTGCCCAAGTCAAATCAATTTAATTATCTTTGGATGATCGACTGATTTGATAAAGACTCTTGAGAGTTATTACTCAAGAAGTCTTGAGTTCAAATCCCTCCTCAATTGCTAATAGGGTAATCACTAGAACTCTTACTTGGTTGGTAGTTTCAAATTATTAAAGGATTAGTTGAAGTACGTGTAAGCTGGTTCGGATACACTAGGTTATAAAAAAAAAAAAAAAAATCCCAAACAATTTAGCTAAATTAACAAATGGATGAAGTTAAAAAATATTTTAAATATTTTAAGAAAATGTTTGCCAATATTATACCAAATATATTTTCAGAATTCAATCATATCCTATTCAAAATAAGATTTTAAAAAAGTGTACCAGAGGCAACCACTAGGAACTATAAAGATTAATGTCCTCCTAACCCGTTGTAATTTAGATTTTTAGATTTTTCTTTTAAACAGGAAAAATAAAATTTAGAGAAGTATAAAAAATCCACCTGGAAAGTGATGGGATAATAGAATATCATATTGTATTCTAGATTTTTTTTTTTTTTTTTTTTCTTTTAAGACCAATCCTTTGATTTGATTTAGGAGTGAGTACTCAGTAGTGCTCTGCTGGTGCATGCAACTCCGTTGAGTCAGCAACGTGGAGTCTACGTGTCAAAGTCATCAATATCATTATCAGACACGATGCATGAAATCACTGAAATGGACGCGTCAATGAGTCATGCACGAAACAGACTTTTGTTATTTGTTTCCATAAATCTTTCTGTCTCTTGAGTCTTAGACTGATTCAATCAGTGTCGTGACTCGTTCACCAATTTTTTCTCCCTATCTTTAGATAACAATCGATGTTTTAAAAGGGTTCAAATTTTACTTGTTGAGAGCAAGGCTTAGGATTAGGAAAATGAACGATATTGTGGAAAACCCTTTACGACTTAGGTCTCTAAACTATGTCTCATTTGTTTGTAGGTCACTTGAGAAGTCCCTCAATTTCTACCAAAATGTTCTTGGTTTTGTTCGTATAAAGAGGCCTGGTTCTTTTGACTTCACTGGGGCATGCGTGGTATATTTTATACTACTCAATTTTCTTATCTTCCTTTCATGTGAGGTGAACTGTTATTGTTTCATTATAGGCTGGATGGTCATGGAATTGCCGTAGGGGTAAGCACGAGTAGCGGGTAGAATCGGAACCGGGGGATAGAACCGGAATCGGAATTGGTACTGTGCGGGTAGGTTCCGGTTCTAGTTTTTTGGAATCGATACTATGCGGTTCCGGTTCCGGTTCTTGTGTGTGGAGGAAACGAAACTAGAACCGAAACCTGTAAAAAGGGTACCCTGTTTGGAACCTGTAGGGGGTACCTGGTTTGGAACCAATTTTTGGAACCTGTTTTGGAACTTGATTTGGAACCTGTTTGGAACCTATTTTGGAACCTGGACTACAATGAAATATTTGTAAAATGTGAATAATGGAGGGTTTCTATTATTTTACATATACAAAAATTTAAAATAGAAAAAGTTAAAATTTTAAAATAACCTAATTAAATAAGTATACGAATTCAATTATACTTATTACATATAAATTACACCATATTAAAAGCTTTAGTATATTATAATACATTAATATTAAAGTTTTGATTAATTAAGTGAATAATTGGAATTATGATCTAATTAAAAGTGTTTTACATTTTTAATGTTATTAAAAGAATTATTTTTGAATAAAATAGTATATTTGATTGAGTAATAATATATTTAGTTATTTACTTCAATTATCAAGTTCTAAGTATATCTATAATAAATTAGTAATTAATTAATTATATATGATAAATTGATAAACATTAATAAATTTACATATAGTACACATATCTACTAATCAATTATAATATACATTATAGTTAAATGATTACTTAATTAATTATTATTTATAACATACTTAATGATTTATATGTATAATTAGTTATGCATTACCTTAATTGATTTAACTTAATAATTGACATATAAGTTATAAAATTTAGTATATTACTTAATTAAATAATAAAACTTAATTAATTATAGTATTAGATTATAGATTTTATGATTTACTTAGTTAATTATAACATATTATAAAACATTAATACACACTTAATTAAATGATTACAAATTAATTAATTATAATATTCATTAAAAATTTATAGTATGATTTACTTAATAATTAATTCACTAAACATACATTATATGATTATTAATAATTATTATAACACTTACCTAATTAAATAATTACTTAATTGATTTGATATTATATTTTAAATATAGTAATTACTAATTTATTCATAAACATTAGCATAATACTTAATCAAATTATAGAATTTAATTAATTACAACATTACATTATAAATTTATAGACGATTATGTAATTAATTGTAATATTACATTAAATTAAATGATTACTTAATTAATTATATATTCTATTGTAAACAAATTAATTATAATATTATATAAGACTATAGTATATTATTTAATCATTGTAACATTTCACTATTCATATAGTCTGATTAGTGATTACATAATTAATATAACATTACATAATTAGAGATTATTTGATATTATATTAAACCTTAATTAAACATTACATATAAACAAATGATTACTTAATTAAATGATTAGAATTAATTAATTAAATATTACATTATAGTTAAATAATTACTTAATTAAATTATAACATTATACATTCATTTATTATGATACACTAATTATTATAGTATTACATAGTTAATTTTACTTAATAGTTATAATTTATAACATCACATTATAAACATTAGTAATTTACTATTATTATTTAATACATATTAATTAAATGATTAAAGTTTAATTAATTATAATATAACATTAAAGATTATAATCTGATTACTAATTCACTATAACATTACATTATAGTATGATCACATATTAATTATAACATTATATAATTAAATGATTACTAACTGAATGAGTTATGATATAATGTTTTAAACATTAGTAATTACTAATTTACTACAAATATTAGCACAATATTAATTAAATGATTAGAAATTTAATTAATTATAATTTACCTTATAAACCTCATTTAAACATAATTAAGATTACTCTATAGTAAATAATTATTCAATTAAATTATAACATTATTATATTACATTATATATGATCACCTACTTAATATAGCATTACGTAGTAAATGATTACATAATTATTATAAATTTATAACATTACTTATAAACATTAGAAATTTACTATTATTACATTTTAATTAAACGATTAAAATTTAATTAATTATAACACTACCTTATATATTTATAGAGTACTTAATCAATTATAACATTCCATTATAAACATTATATTAATTAAATGATTTGAAATTTAATTAATTATAATATTAAATATAGATTTATAGTATGATTACTTAAATCATTATCATTATATTATATTATATATAGATCATATAATTAATATAACATTACATAATTAAATGTAACTAATTGATTATGACAATATTATTATAAACATTAGTAATTACTAATTTACAAATACTTAATTAAATGATTAGAATTTTATTAATTTATAACATTACATTATAAATTTATTGGTATGATTACTTAATTAATTATTAATATTCTATTATAAACAATATTACAATACTTAATTAAATGATTAAAAATTTAATTAATTATAATATTACATTATAATTAAACCCTAAACCCAAATAGTATATTTGTTAGGAGTGTATTTGTAAACTTTTAAGGTATTTTTGTCATTTTTTAAACTAATAGGGGGGTAATTGATTTTTACAGGGTATGTTGGAAAGGAACCGAAACCTTCATTTTAGGTTCCGGTTCCTTGAATTGAAGAACCTGCACTTTGTGGTTCCGGTTCCGGTTCTTTTTTTTTGAGAACCTGCACTGTACGGTTCCGGTTCCGGTTCCGGTTCCCCAGGAAAATGGAAGGTACTCGGAACCGCTCACCCCTAGGAATTGGGATTCATTTGTTACAGTCAGATCGTCCAAAAAACATGCCTAGGAAAAAAGAGATTAATCCGAAGGATAATCATATCTCTTTCCACGTAGGGGTGGGCAAAAAAATATGGTAAAACCGGAACCGGCAGGTACCTAAGGTTTTGGTTCCAATTCCTACCCGAAACCAGCCCTTATAGGGTCGTTTTCAGTTCTAAAAAATCAGAATGGGTACTATACGATTCTAGTTTTGGTTCCACCACTACGGGAATAAAAATCAGAACTGGAACTAAGACCCCGGTACTCGGATAGGAACCGAGATTGAACTATAATTTTGTAAATTTTGGAATGTATTTGTAATTTTTGTGAATAATAGGGGCAATCATAATTTTTTTGGGTACTTGGAACCGGAACTTGAAACACAAGTTCTAGTTCCAAGCTTTTAGGAACCAGAACCAGCTGGTTCCAGTTCCAAATCCCAGGAACTGATCGATTCTGGTTTCGATTCCATGGGATTTGGGCGGATACCCGAACTCGCTCACCCCTATTTCCAGGTAATAAATTTTCAACCAGATTTTCTATTGAATGGAACAATCTTTTAAGCTTTTTAGGTAGTATCATAACCAAACGTCTAAAGTTAAAAAATGTTACGTTAGGGCCTATTTCACAAATAAAATATTGAGTCCTAGTTAACTTATAAAACTTTTAGGTGGGATAAGAATTTAACAAATGAAATGTTGCTTAATTTGTTGAATGGCAGTGTGAGTGCATGTTGTCATTGGAGAAGAAACTGAATGAACTGGGGATTAAGTACGTACGAGCAGTGGTGCAAGAAGGAGGGATTGAAGTGCACCAGTTGTTCTTCCATGATCCAGATGGGCTCATGATTGAAATGTGTGATTGTAATAATCTTCCTGTGGTTCCTCTGGTTGGAGACTGTTTAGTGGCCAAAAATCGTCCTTGGCCCAATAGGGAAATGGACAATAGCGAAGACGGACCAGGCCCAGTCCTGCAAAGGCCCACCAGGTTAGTTCTATTTTGACTGAGGTTAAAACCGGCCCAAATCACGCGCACGAGCCTCTCAAACCAGTACATTTCCTAGGTCCACGGACGAATCCAAGCCCACAGCCCTTTCATAGTATTTCCTACTCCTAATCAACCTCCATTCAAGGACGCCTCTATTCTGATCACTTTCCCACTTAGCGAATTCTCCTAAACGGGTTACCTTCCTATTTGGACACTGTAAGACAACTCACCACGACCCTATTCTTCTAGGGTTTACATCGGAGTCACATTAGGACTCCTGCTCCCACCAGGATTGGAGACCAGACGACCACTATAAAGCAAGGCCAGCCCTCTCACAAGGCACTCACATTACACCTTCACACCCAAGCCTTTACTCGAGTCGTTTATTCGCCGTAGTCACAGTCCCCGACTAGACTTCCGATATCTCTCATTCCCTAGCCCTCACTATATTGCCTTCGCCTTGCTGACTTGAGCTCGGAGTGCTATGGCAAACACCACCCTGGTGTTTCCCGTTCGCTTCACGCGTGTTTCTCTACTGTGCAGGTCAGCAGATCGCTAGTGGCCTCAACCTCCGGGATCAGACCCCCTTTTCCGTACAGGTAGATTTTTACGTCTTAGTTTGGCGCCCACCGGGGCCTCTAGCAATCATTCGGCGTGACGAACCTTGCTACGGATGGAATATTCCATGCTGACAATCCACGACGTTAACTTAGGCCTCGAGGCCAGACTGGAGCGTTTGACCGCCCTCATGCACAAAACTTAGACAAGGTGGCCGCACTGGAAGCCGAAAACACATCCATCAGTTCGAAACCAGTCGCTAAAGAGAAAATAAGTCGATTCTATGAACTCGAGTTTCTGCCCGACCAAGCACACCCCCAATCGATTCCGCACCATTTCCATCCATGCAACCCCTCTCCACACCAGAGCATCAACCCTCGGATTCTGGTAAAGGGCCGCGTCCGCTTAACGATTGGCGCTCGACTACTCCGTTCTAACTAACGGAGATAAAGATACAACAGGGCGGGCCAGTCGACCCATCCCGCCTCATGATCAAAACGATCCAACATAGAAACCCAAAGACAACCCATCTCACCATACCACTTCCCCTCTAGTCAACCCAAACACAACCCCCTCCTGCCTGGCTCACCCTCGCGGGGTGAACGCCAAACCAAACCAACTCCACTCTTGAGCCCGTCCATCCCGAAAGACCGAACGACTACCAGACAACTCCCCTGACCGTTCATATAGGGAAGAACAACAGAACAGTGACATGGGAGTCATCCAACCAGAAGGGATGAACGAAGACACATGCTACCAAGGAGCGCACAGGACTAATCTATCAGTCTACCCCGAGGGATGACCCCACGAGAACTACAGACCCGTAAGAGGGACCCGATAGTATCCCCTCCCCTTGGAACAGTTACTGCCAAGAGACTGCCGACGTTGAGGCAGTAATGAGGCGTACCCATAGAATGCCGACTCCCACCAGAAGAGCAGACCGAATTGTTACGCATTCACCTTTTGCGGACGAGATCGCCCTGCTGACATGCCCCAACCATATGACGGTAACCAACTACCCGACGACCACATAGCCTCGTACAGACGGATGTTCACTGTTTCCATACCCCAACCGCTTAGAGAAGCCTGCATGTGCAAAAGTTTCGGTTCTATTTTGTCCGCCCCGGCTCCAATGGTACACACCTCCCGAAGGTCCATCGATTCATTCGCTAAGCTTCTGACACCTTTGTGGAACAGTTTCGCCAGAGCAAAAGCTAGAGAGTTGTCGGCCGACTTGTACCGAGTATACCAACGAAGGGGGGAACCATAAGAGAGTAGTTAGCAGATTCAACAAAGAGAAATCTCTATTCCTCTTGTAACCCCGAACTGCTGTGGACGCTTTCAGAAAAGCGCCCTCCCAGATGAGAACATACAAAGAGCTACAAGCTGGGCTGCACTACATGGAAGACGCTCTGGCCCGAGCGTGATCCAGATAAGGTTGGGGGAGAATGAGATGAACCGAGCCGCCCATTCCAGATACAACCAAGGCGGAACGACAGGAGCCAGAGCCTACCGGTAGAACACCGCTACCAACCCCCCGCACGAAGAATGCAGACCAGAAGACCATACGACCAGCCAACTGAGAAGTAATAACAGGAATTTGGATCGACCAGTTCAAAATACCAGAATACAGTCTCACTCGAACCAACCCAGGTGTGAAATAATGAAAGGAATGGGATCTGCGGTCAAGTGGCCTGGTAAGCTCAATCCCAGGCAAGAGAGACACAACCAAGTGGTGGAGTTCCACAACGATCATGGGCAAAACACCGAGACTGCATCGCCTTCGGCTCGAGGTTGCCGCACCTTCTGAGAGAGACATCTCCGTGATCTACTCACTGACAAGGAAGAACACCATTAGCCAGAAAAGCTCCAAACAACATCGCCCCCGCCCCCCCCGCGAGAACCCACACCGAGGGATTCTGCTCGCTATCTCCGGAGATCAGAATCAGTAGGGTAGTTACTCATCAGCGAAACGGCATGCTAGAACTAACCATCATGAAGTCCAGTCCATCCACCCGTCTCGAGGTCATACCCCATCAGGTAATTCAGTTTGAGGATGACGAACCAACACCCTAGCCGCTCCTCACCACGACGCTTTAGTCCTCCCCTGCAAATAGCCAACATCCTAGTGAAAGAGTGTTCGTAGATGGGTTCGTCAGCAAATATTCTATTCCTCGAACGGTCAAGCAATGGGACTGGAAGAAGAAATACAATAGCGACCGACACTCTAGTTGGATCAGTTCGGAGCAGAAATCACTTGGGGATATCATCCTTCTATCTATGCCGCGGAGTAAACACACAGTCTTCCTGGTGATCGACTGCCCATCCCCTTAACGCATTTTAGCCGCCCCTGGATCCATGACATGGCGGCAGTCCCATCTGCTTCCACCAAGATCAGATTTCCACCAGTGGGGAGTACGGGAGATCAAGGGTGACCCTAAAGCTCCAGACTGCTACAAAAACGCCTTCAAAGGCAGGAAACTCTTCATAGCAATTACAGTCTCGTCCAACCCCTCGAGCAAGCCCGACCAACCGACCATGGAGGAGTGGATAAGTGCAATCCATCGATGACCCGAGAGAAAGACACACATAGGCTCCCGTCTCCCCGAGAAAGAGAAGCTGTAATAGTTTTCTAAAACGGAACGAAGATGTTTCGCTGGTCCCATGCCGACATGACCGGAATCAATCCAGACGCAATGGTCCCCCAGCTCAAGGCATCCGGATCACCCGCCAGTCAAGCAGAAGAGGAGGAAATTCGACCTGAACGGAACCAGATCATCAATGAGAGATCGAAAAACTCCTAACAACGCATGATCAGAGAGGTCCACCTCCCGAATGGCTGGCAAACGTCGTAGTCGTAAAGAAAAGAACGGAAGTGGAGTCTGCATCGACTTCACTAACTTGAACAAACCTGCCCCAAGGACTTTCCCCTCCCACTATCGAATGATGGTAGACGGACCGCAAGGCACGAACTCCTCAGTTTCATGAGCTTTCTCATATACAATCAGATTCTGATGCATGCAGACGACCAGAGAAGACAGCTTCATCACAGGAGGGAACCTTGTTACAAAGTAATGCCGTTTGGACTGAAAAACCCGGCCCACCTACCAACGCCTGGTCAACAAATGTTCTCTGACCACTTAGGGAAACCATGGAAGTTTACATCGATGACAGCTCTCGTCAAATCCCTATTGCCGAACAACACCTCGACCACCTTAGCGCCATTCGCCATCTCCAATACAACATGAAACTGAACCCAGAAAGTGCTCATTCGCGTCTCATCAGGTAAATTCTTAGGCTATATGGTTACTCAGGAGGAATAGAAGCAAACCCCGACCCAATCAGAGCGGTCCTAGCATACCTCACCCCGACTTGCTCGAGATGTCCAACGTCTTGCAGGACGAGTGCCGCCCTGAGCCGTTCATCTCCAGGTCCGCTGACAAGTCCACCCCTCTTCTTCCACGCCCTCAAAAAATCCAACAAGTTGATTGGACCCCCTCATGAAGAAGCCCTACAACACTGAGAGGTATTTGACTACCCCCCCCCCGCTGCTGTCCAAACCCATGACGGGAAAGCTTACACTTACCTAGCGGTCTCAGAGACGGCCATATCAGCGTGCTAGTTCGGAAGAAGAAACAAGCAGTCACCGTCTACTACGCATTAGCAAGTCGCTCCTCGACGCAGAAACTCGATACAACCCATTGGAAAAGCTTGCCCTTGCCCTCATCCATGCATCCAGGAAGCTCAGACCGTATTCCGTGCCATCCTAAGTTGTATGTACACCTCATTCCCGCTCAGAAATATTGCACAAACCAGAGTATCAGGCCGACCACAATGGACAGTAGAACTTAGCGAGTACAACGTATCATACCAACCACGCCACCGCCGTCAAGTCCCAGGCACTAAGATTTATTCCGCTTCACACCAAGCAAACCACCCAGGCCGAAAAATTACTATGCATGAACGGCACCACCTTCAAAGTGGACTCTCTAGTACGATCGAGTAATGTCATGGAAGCGACTCGGAATAGTACTGATCACCAGAGGGAGACGTCATCCACGCAGTCCGCTTGGGTTCAAGTGCACGAATAACGAGGCCGAATAGAAGCCCTCCTAGCGGACTTACCTTGGCCAGAGAAATTGGCGCAAGAGACTAAATGAAGTCGACTTCCCAACCGTGGTCAATCACTACAAGGTACGTACCAAGCACTGGACTCAAAAATGACATCCTATCTAAGCATGGTCAAAGAGTTGCAGGCCGAATTCGAAGAGTTCTCGATAGTACAGTCCCCGATTAAGAACAACCATCGACGCCCTCGCCGCCTTGGCTCAGCACTCTCATGTCCTCTCAGTCATCCATCCCCCTCCTATTCATGCAGTGGCCACAACTGAAAGAACCGCCACCACACAGTCTCCTATAGAACATGGGCATGCTCAGCCGACTGTTGGATGACCCCGATTGAAGTACCTGGAAGACGACGAGCTCCCGCTGGCAAGAACGAACACGCCGATTGAAAGCAAAAGCCGCCAAGTCCACCCTACATGAGGGTCAACTCTCAGAAAGTCGTTCTCAGGCCCCTACCTCAAATGCATAAGCCTAGAAGCCCAAAGTGTTCTAGCCGAACTCCATGAAGGCGAATGCGGCAACCATGAGGGGGCGTATTCTTGCTCACCGGGTGTCACCGCGGTTACTACTCGGCCGACATCGCACCACTCGATCGCTACGCAAAGAGATGCGACAGTGTCAGGTTTGCTCACGTCTCACACCTCCCACCGAAACACTCCATTCCATCTACAACCGTGGCCATTCATGAAGTGGGAATGGACATCGTGGGAAAGCTACCTACTGAACCGGGGCAACAGTCTTCATGTTGGCAGTGACAACTACTTCACCAAGTGGATCGAGCCGAAGCCTTCGCCCAAGTCAGAGACCGAGAAGTCAAAGCTTTATCTGGAAAATGATCTGCAGGTTCGGAATACCAAAGAAAATTGTCACCGATAATGGGTCCCAGTTCATTAGTTCAGCTTCAGGGATTTCTGTGACATTGGGGAATAAAGTTAAGCTTCTCAACACCCCGCACCCCCAGTCTAACGGCCAGGCCGGTCGTAAACAAAACAATCATGACACTGAAAAAGCGATTACAGAAAGCTAAGGGCGCTGGGCGGACAGCTACCGGAGTCCTCGGTCATACCGAACCACGGCTCGATCATCAATGGGAAACACCTTCTCCCTGACATATGGTTCAGAAGCAGTCATTCCGCCGAAATATTTCCGTCCACCAGCTCCGTGGCGGGAGAAATCAAATACCAAACCTTTGCCAGAACCTAGACACTGGACGAGCTACGGAACAGCAGCAGCCCGCAACGCAGTCTACCAGCAACAGCCGCCGACATTATAACCGCAGCGTGAGGATCCGCACTTGAGATAGCGATTGGGTCCTCTGAAGGTTTTCCAAAACACCAAGGAGATTAACTTTGCAAACTCGACCCACCTGGGAAGGCCCCTACAAGATAATCAAAGAAGCAGAAGGCCCTACAAACTCCAGACCCCCGAGGGCAAAACATCAACAACATTTGGAATGCCGTTCACCTCAAACGTTACTACTCGTAGGTGAACCCCGTCCTGTGGGAATTTTGTTTTTTTTCATTTTTTCTTGTTAAAAAAAGGATGATGTGGCCATCCACCTCCTCTTAGACAGTCGCCTCAGGCCAGATATTCTATGAAGTATATTCCATAATTCCCATCTTCGAATCAGTTACTTACCCTTCAAATCGCCATGCCTATTACGTAAACACCTTCAAATCGGCCATGCCCGATGTACGTACGAACAACCTTCATCGCCATGCCGATTACGTACGACACTTCAAATCGTCCCTGCCCGATATACACAAACACCTTCAATCGGCCATGCCCGATAACGTACGACACCTTCAATCGCCATCCCGTGAACGTACGGACCACTTCAATCGGCCCTGCCCGATAACGTAACACCTTCAAATCGGCATGCCCTATGTACGATGACACCTTCAAATCGGCCATGCCCTATGTACGTCGACACCTCAGTCGGCATGCGAATACGGACACCCTCAGTGACGATGAATTCTCCACCTCGAATCCACCCGCTCGACTCTCAGAAACACCTTAGATCGGCCTGCCCGATCCAAAACTTGGCACCTTGGGCCGGCCCCATCCAACCCAGAAACTGAATAAGATGCACCCACTCATCACGGGGACTACCACTCGGTCAACCCGACGAAAAGATGTCCTAACCGTTGCACACCAACCAGCCCCATAAGGCCTACTGCCTTAGCCATCAGCCACGTAAAGTAACATGCACAAAAAGGAAAAACAAAAGAACAGTCATTCATCCAAGGACAACATAAGACACAACAGTCAAAAGTAATATAATGAGCGCATCCGCCCAGTTCAGAATACAAAAAACGGCACAGACGCCAGACAAAGGGCATCGCAGGCCCTAAAACAAAAAAAAAAGGGGAGAGGCACTAAGCTCCTCGGACCGAGTCTCATCCCCATCAATCAGTCCCCACGCAAGCACCACTAGTGCTCGCCCCGACCAGTGTCGCTCACTCCAACACCCCGCTAGCTCAGCGCCTGCTCCTCTGCCCGTCCCACAACTCGTATGACAGAATATCTTATCCGGATCCCAATGAAGGTCCGCCCTTCTTTAAACTCAAGCATAGCTCGCCTCGGGCCTTAATGATGGCGTCATCAGCATAAGATGCACTGCTCCCTAGGGACTCACCTCCGGGTCCTCTCGCTAACTCGCGCCGTACTCTCGACCTCGCCTCACTATCCCAGGCGCGCTGACTCGACTCTCCTGTTCCTTCCGGGATGCTGCCTCCTTCTGGCCGAACCAGCGTTGGCCTTGGAATCCTGTATCCTTTCTCCTGCGCCAGACAACCTCCTTAATGGAGACTGCTAGTGAGTACTGTACAACAAAACTGACAATGAGACACAGTCAAACAAGAAAAATAAAAGTACTCCATACCTGAACGCGCGGATACACCCCAATCACGACAGCACCGCACCCATCTGTTCAAGCGCGCCTCGTCCGCTGGAACAAAAAAGTCAGCTTACTCATAGATGTAGCGTCAGAGTAAGTCGACGCAGTAGCCGTAGTAATGTAATAGTCCCGCCTCCTCATCCACAACCAGCCTGGGACGACCCGACTCGCCGAAGGCTGCTGACTCGTGCTGCCGACTGGGCGGTGCCAATACATCTCAACCCTCAATCCCTACCAACGACTCCCTCTTCCTTTTCTCTCGACGCCTGCGATGGATTCGCTCGCGCTTGGACAGTCAATTCTTCATCAGACTTGCAAGTGCAACTCTCTCAACGTTAGTGGGTTCAGCCGGATCACACAAAATGATATGGTTGCAGTATCGACTCAGGAGCACATCCCAAGTCTGCTTCAGCGGGGAGGGAGTACCTCTCTGAATGCCTCTACTCCGGCCCAAAGAATACTGCTCCTCAGATTAGACTCTGCAGCACCACTCGCCAATCCTCTGCTCCAAGGGATGGCAACACCCTCTGGTAGCTACGTCCAAACCGTCCCGCTCTGCCCAGCCGATTGAAATCCGCTCTCAAACAAAAAACACAATCAGATTTAGTAATCAAAAGTACGAAAGAAACGACAAGTTCTCACCAGTGGCCGCCAGCCGTCGGGTCTCGCCCTGCCCTTCTCCGAAAACGCCTGACCCTTCAAGAAAAAGTAACGGTCTTTCCAGTTTTTATCACTAGACCGCAGGTTGTCACAGAGGAGACCGGTCGTGCCTCAAGTTTAGCAATATCGGCCCTTCTCCTTATGTCTCTTTTCAGAAGTAAGTACAACAGCTCTGCAACCGAACACAATTTGATGCCGAACACACAGATCCTCCAAGGCCATCAACAGCTCCAGGCGCGGCATAAGTTGGGAAGGGCGAATATGAAGTGATTCAGCACCTCCCAGACAGGAGGCACAGGCAACCTCACCCATCTGAAACCTTTCTCTACATGACACCAACCTTGCTTCCCAATCAACCCGCTCGTACGACCGCGGGTCCAGACTTATACAGAACGGGGATATGATAAGGTACGGATACGCCACACGTCACTTCCCTTCAGCACGGGCGATAATCCCTGGTCAGAATCCCACTGCCCTGCTGCTCGGCTCTTCCTCAAGCTACTACCGATGAAAGGGACTGCAGCCCCTCCGGAGTCTTCCCCACTCCACCATACCCCGACCACTCGGCCCACTCCACTCGACCCTGGAGCAGCAACACTAACTGCGGTCGGCACGCCGACCGGAACGCTCCCTTCAGGCATCATCACCATAGTCGGGCCCGCTCATACTCGTCCCCACATCACCACCTCTCGACCCGACTCCGAGGACATATCGTCAGAATAGCGATGACTCGCCGTCTGAACCGACCGACCCGTTTTTTGGAGACAACAACTCAAAATGTAACCCCTACCAGTTGCCCCTTCAACACCGACCGACACCCGCGAAAATCAATCTTCAATCTTAGTCGCCCCGCCTAACTGACCGAATGAAGAGACGCTACTACCCGACCTGTCTGATAACTAGGTCAACCTACCCTTGGTCGACCCCTCCGACCGACCGACCTTTAAACCTTCAGTACAGTAGTTTGCTCGCCCCAGGCAACCGACTCACCTCCAAGTCCAACCAAGTCACCTGCTAACCTCGCTCACTCCCACGAACCTGAAAACCCCCGCTCACCCTGGATGACCGATCCAGTAGTCCACACCACACGACCACTCACCACTCGGTCAGACGTACCGACCGACCCAAACAACGCCTAAGTCGACTTTGTCTTCCAGGCCCAATCCAAAAAACCCAGAAAATATTCGAAACTGCCGGATTCTTCCCCAATACCCACCGGAAAATTCAAACCTACATCTATTCTCCAAAATCTTAACACCAAAACACTCGAAAATCCAGTTTAAACCCGCTCAAAAACTCAAAACACCTTTATCCTACCTCCCAAAAATTTCAACAAAAGTGAAATCTACATACAGAACAGCAAAACGACCTGAAAAGAAGAAATTACCTTGGATGATTGGAGAAAAAACCACCTTCGCTAAAGAACCTGGGACAGAAACGCAGAAAAAAAGGGGGAGAGATTTTTTGGATGAAAACGCAAAACCAACGTGAATGGAAGATGAACAGTCTGCTCCCCAATTTTGTAAAGAAAAATGCAGACATGTGGCAGGCTGTGATTGGCCAGTTGTCAGGAGTCTCTTCGTTTTCCCGCTCTCGAAACGATGAATCAATCACCACCATACACGTGGCAGCGATCCTGACCACCTGGGAAACCGTGGACCTATACGGATTCCTCATCTCGGTCGCCCGACCCCCTGGCTGACTCAGCTTGAACATCCAGAAGTATGTTCGGCACGCGTCCAACATTCGCCCCAACAGTATACTAGGCCATTCGATCCGTCCCACCGACAAAGCTTCTCAGGTCAGGAGCCTTCCCAGGCATCTCTCACTCAGCCATCCCGGAAGGCCCGGTCGATCGACGTATGAGCTTGGGGTAGCCCGGGTTAAACTCTTCAGAAGGCTATCAAGCCTCGTCCATTCGTCCGTCCGAGGCGAACGAGTGGTCAACATGTTCTGTCACCCCACCTACCTTGTCGTCCCAACAGCCCGACCGAATGGAGCTCCTTGGTGAACTTCCTAAACTTCGCCCGATTCAGCAGGACGAATAATTGCCCCTTGCGCGGTTTCCTTGATAATCGCGCTGATGTACCGAGCGACCTTACCTAGCTTTCTGCTCTTCGGCTCGTCGAACCGATCAGGCACACTGCGTGGTGGCGTGCTCTTGTTCAGGAATGGATACCGACCAAGATCCAATCAAATCACTTGCGGCGGTCAGCTCTCTCCAATGATCGCTCGTCCATGAGGAAAGAACGAGCTCGCCTTGAGCGCAACCTATTCTCTGACTTGAGATACTCTCAACTCAGAGAGTGGGGGACAAACTGTTAGGGCCAAAAATCGTCCTTGGCCCAAATAGGGAAATGGGACCATTAGCAAAGACGGACCAGGCCCAGTCCTGCAAAGGCCCAAGCCAGGTTAGTTCTATTTTGACATAAGGTATAAACCGGCCCAAATCACGCGGGCACGAGCCT